GGGTAAACTGATCTTTCACCGTCTGTGTCTCTGGCGTATCTGACTGGCACATGAAGGCACACAGGTGTCTGAGCAGCGCACAGACTGGGGGAGGGTCAGACTGGCCAATGATTGGTCGCTCTGTGGATCTGACAAACACACTCTAAAGGACTAAGTCCTGCCCCCACACCATTTATACATTACATATACATATGTACATATTAATTAAACTTATGTTTACATGCTTTTTATCAGTATTTATTATAATTAACTTTGTTTTTAATCAATATTTATTTATACTTTTAATCCCGTTTTTAACACTGGGTTACACTTCACATACAAGGTCTTAAGTAACGAGGCCCCACTTTATCATAAAGAGGTTTCTTACTGTTAAAGAGGAGTTTTTCCTTCCCACTGTTGCTAAGTGTTTGCTCATAAGGCAGGAGTGTCCAACTGTATAAATAAAATTGAATTGATTCACAGTGGGTAGTTCCATGTGTTTGATTTGGCAGATCCCCTTACACAACCCTAAAGGGATTTGTGTCTCTTTCCAGGATCAAACCAGGGATTTTTTGCTTGTTAGGTGAATGTGTAAACCACCACACTATGAAACCATGTACAACATTGTTTGAATGTGCAAAAAGTTTCCACAGTCAAATCATAGTGAAAGTCACCTTAGTTACTGAAGTCTAGGAGTTATAAAATACATAAATGGATTTAGAAGTCCTACATCCACACTTAAGCAAGTTACTTCAGCAAATGGATGGGTACACCCAAAGTATCTTTCTACTCAATTTTGAGCACTCAAAAAGCTCAAAGAGAGTCTCATTCACCCAGTCACACACATGCAGTGCTTTTATCTAAGCACTTTTATATCTAACTTTCACACTCAAATCAATGTATCAGCAATTCAGGTTTAAATATCTTATTCAAGGATACTTTCACACAAGGACAAGAAGCACTGGGGGTCGCTCCACCAACCTTCCAACTGGTAGATGACCCGCACTATCACCTGAGCCATAGCCACCCCAAACAAACAAAAGGTGTTAGGTTGTTAGACTGAATCTTATCTGGAATCAAGTAACCAAAAGAACAGCAGAGTAGATCCTGAGTGTCTGTATGTTGATTCAACAGGGATAATATTAAATTAAAGTTGACACCTAAGAACTTCATGCATTATTTGTATCTCCACCATAAACTGATGCAGGAAAAGTACAAAGTGGATGATAGAATGTAAAACGTTAAAGTCTTGACCCTCAAAATATCCTTGTGTCTAAACCCAACCAAGTAGTTTTTAATAACTAAGCTTAACAGCAAGTGAAAGTAGAAGACAAATGAGAAAATTGTTAGAAAGTGTAAAATTGTTAGAAAGTGACAAAATACAGTGGTGTCTGCAAGATGCAAAGAGGATATCCTGCCTTGGAAACTGTTATCTCTCAGCAGTCGATATTACTGCATCTGGTGTGTCAGAGCGACGTTGCCAAAGAACACCTTGTGTGTAATATGGAGACAAAAGATGCATCTGGCAAAAAAAACAGCATTTTTTTTACCCATCACGATGAAAACTTGTTGGCCAGCCAGCTCAAATCTTGATGTGGTCCAGTATTTGAAAGTGAGCTGTTGCTTCCACATTGTTAGAATACAAATAGCAGTTGATTGCTGAATATTTAGTAGCAAGGAAATTACAATACTGGATTTGTTGGATAAATGGCATCCTATCACGGTACCACGCTGGAAAACACTGAGTGCCTGAGAGTGACCCATTCTTTAACAGATGTTTGTAGAAGTAGTTTGCATGCCTAGGTGCTTTATTTTATACACCTGTGCAAGTGACTGGAACACCTGAATTCATTGATTTGGACAGTGAGTGATTACTTTTTACAGTGTAGTGGATGTTTTCATGAGATGATCATATTAGGGATATCGGTTTTCAGTGGTATCAAATAAGGGAAAAAATGTCTGAAATGGATTATTGAGCACAGGCTTGTACAAATCATATGTTCAAGGTTGCTTTTCAGGGTTTCAAAGCGTTTTACAACATCATGAAAAAAATTATCATTGTTGGCAGCTTCAGCCACATGGCACTGGACCTGCTGTATGCCATTTAAAATCTGGAAATATACAACTGACCATCAGAAACCAGATAAAAGAAAAGAAAATGTAATAGTAGTATCCAGTGGTCCACAGTTGTAACATGTAAAACAAATTTTTATTTGCGTTTCTCTCACAATACCCCTCACAGACAAAAGCACCTCGTGTCCCTACCACCCTGCCCACCCGCCAAGCTGAAAAGCACTAAACACCTGAAAATGCAAATGCAAGGGAGGAGGTGCAGATTTTCTGGCACAATATCTCCATGCAGTCCCTTAGTAAACAAGGACAAACCCAGTTTTATTGTTTAGTGGCTGAAAAAGGGGGGCTGCTAATCCTCAGCAAATATCCTCTTTTTTAATTCAGTGGTCTGTTTGCAGTGAAGCTGCTCTGCTGCTCGAGTTACAGTCTTCCAGGGTTGCATTATTTCTAGAGTATGTTATTTTTAAAAGTATTTTTTTAATTATATACAATTTGAACCATAATTCAAAGTAAAACAAGAGTCTTCAGTAATGTTATAAAGCTGTTTAAAATCCCAGAATATTGCCATAAGCTCTATCTATCTATCTACACATATATACATATATATATACATATATACATATACATATATATACACATATACATATACACATATATACATATACATATACACATATATACATATACATATATACATACATATATACATATACATATACATATATACATAAATATATACATATACATATACATATATACATACATATATACATATACAAATAAATATATACATAAACATATACATATAAACATACATATACAATATAACCACACATACATCATACAATACCCAATATATCATACACACACATATATACAATATATTATAACTATACGTCCACACATATATACATATAATATATATGTGTATACAACTCACATATATACATATATACATATATATGTCACAATATACATATT